CTGATCGGGGCAGGGGTGAGGCTGGGGATGATTTGGCCATCACACCCTCACTTGTCCACCAAGCAGAAGCCACAGTTTCACATTTGAGATGGGGTTGTGTCAGCAACGACCAGTAATTAGCACCCAAGAGCACATCGTCCCCAGCTGGCCCAGAGCCAGACCTCAGTTCTCAGGCTAACTGACCGCTGGGTTCCAGCACCCAACACTCAGCATGGTGGATTGTTTAGCTCCTGCCCTACACTCCAGGAGCTCACGACTTGTGAGGGGCATGGGAACATTGCACCCTCCCAGACTGGCCACAGCAGGCTGGGACATGGGGAGGAGCTGACATATGGACTGTATGGACTGTAACAGGCTCATTTTGATTCTACTCTGGCTTTGCCACCTACCTGCCAGGTAAGTCTCTCCTCTGGACCTGGTATTTCCCGTTTATACAATGGGGAGCAATAGTACCTACCTTGTGGGACAAGTATAATGGTTAAAGAGCCCAGGACAGGGTCTGGAAACCCGAGCAGCAACTGTTTCTTCGTGCTGGGTACTATGCTAGGACAAGGAGATGCCACACTGAGCAAAACAGACATGGCTTTCCTCCTGAAGTTTCAAGGGAGAGAGGCACACATCAAGCAGGGACAGGGCAGGGTGCTCTGAAATGATGGGGGAGGGGTGCAGTGAGCGGGGAAGGCTTGAGGAGGCACATGAACTAGAATCTGGTGAGTGAGAGGCAATTGTTGATTAAATATACAAAAAAAAAAAAATTCTTTTTAAAAAGTACCCCAGGCAAAAGGAACACAAGCTAAAGGCCACAGAGACAGGTCTGGCCCTCCATCTGTTCTTGTAAATAAAGTTTTATTGAAACACAACCCGTCTATTTGTTTACATACCATTGCTGCTCTTATAACTTCACAGATCCACGAAACAGTAAAGGTTTATTATGTGGTCCTCTCCAGAGAGAGCTCTCTTGTGGGTAATGAGTTGCCCTTTGTGTGAGTTCATTCTGTAATACCGGAAGAGGCTGCCGGGGACCCTTCCAGAGAGTCCTCCACAGGGACCTGGAAACCAGTAGGAATGGTGATACTTGTGGCCATGGGAAGGAGCTGTGTTTGGAAAGGAGCCATGGTTGATAGCTCTAAGAAGCAGTCAGACATGTAAGAAACTGACCCCATGGACCCCGGGGTGGGGGGCAATGATTATGTTGCCTTAAAGATCTCTATTTCCTAATTATAAAGTAAACACAGGGTTGAGGATATAGCTCTGGGCAGAGGGCTAGCACATTCGAGGGCCCTGGGTTAATTCAGTAGTAACTGAAAAGTAAAAGAAAACAAATGACCACGATGCCACTATGGGCGTTTTAATCTCTATAAGAAAGTAGAGGGTGGCAGAGGACGTGGTCCAGACTTTCTCAGGGCTAGCCATGTGAGCTCAGATGGGGTCAAGCCCTCAGCGCCCACACGATGGAGCGCTGCTATTCACACATCTGTGTCCTCCTTTTCCCTGGAGGGGTGGGGCGTGCTCCGTAGCACGCTCCTGATTTGTTTCCCCACAAATCGGTCCCCCGTCCCTCTCTTGTGTTTTGGAAGCTGGGTCTTCACTCCGTAGACCAGGCTGCCCTCAAACTCACGGGCATCCACCTGCCTCTTCATTTTTGAGTGCTGGGGTTAAAGGAGGGCTTAGAGCCTTGACCCCTAGCCCTGGCTGGCCTGGATCTCCATCCCCAGTCCGAGCTGAACTTGAACTGCAGTCCTCCTGTATCATGCTAGAGTCACAAGTGTGTGCCACCACACCCACCTCTTCAAGTCTCCTTATGCAAACGATATGCTGTGGTCTATGAGGGATTTTGAATCTTGCCAGGCTCCATTTCTAAAAAGCAGCCCAGTGGCTCGGGCCTGCAGTCCCAGCTATGTAGGAAGTCAGATCATAAGTTCAGGGATTGCCTGGGCCACTGAGTGAGTTCAAAGCCAGCCTTGGGAATTTAGCGAGCCCCTGCCTCAACTAGGACTGGGAGTAGAGGGGCTGGCTGCCTAACACAAATGCTTGCAACAGGCGCCTGTGCACCTTGAATGCCCACAAGTGTGCTAAAATGTAAGCTGAGACATAAGAAAAAATTTGTGGAAGGAAATTTACTTAAATAATAATAAATTATGAAGCTCAGGGCTTGTCACGATGACTAAAGGCACTTGCCAACAATCCTCATGACCTGAGTTCAAGCCCCAGGACCCACATAGTAGGAGGAACTGATTCTTACAAGTTGCCCTTTGGCTGGATGGTGGTGGCGCACGCCTTTAATCCCAGAACTTGGTAGCAGAGGCAGGGGGACCTCTGTGAGTTTGAGACTAGCCTGGTCTAGAGAGTGAGTTCCAGAACAGCCAGGGCTGCACAAACAAAAAAACCCTGTCTAAAAAAAACAAACAACAAACCCCAAAATTGTTGCCCTTTGGTATACACAGCGCGCGCGCACGCACACACACACACACACACACACACACACACACCACACACACACACACACACACACACTGTAATAATAAAGCAAGAAGCTTCAAGCCATCGAGGTACTCTGCTACCAGCCAAGGGTACTTGGGAGACTCAAAAGGAAAACAGAGATCTGATTGGTTTGGAAGATTCTTAGTGATTGTTTATAACTGTATTGGCAACTTCTGATTGGCTGATTTTAACTGCATTGGCTACTTCTGATTGGTTGGTTATAATTGTTTTGTTTACTTCTGATTGAGTTGAGTGCAAGTTCTGTCTTTAAGTAGTTCCTAGAAATGGCTAAAGCTTTGCCTCTGCCTGCCAATCAAGCAGGGCCTGTCTGTCTGTCTGCTCAGGGTTCTTCATTCTGCCTCCTTTTAAATCTGCTTTAACAAGCGAGGATATTATTTTTAGCTTCTGCTTTGTACTCCACCAAGGGACAGATCTCCCTGGTGTGGGACTTGTGTGTCTCCCCAGATGTTCTCTCGTGTTGGGTGCATTGCTTTGGTCTCTGGGGGTGCTGGAGAATCTTCTGGGCTCCGTTCCTAAAGGCATAAAGCTGCTAGCTGTGACTGCTCACCCATCCGTCAGGTGTCAGGTGCAGGAGGATGTGGGTTTAAGGTCCCCACACAGAAAGCATGAGCTGGGATCCACTTGGCAATGCATGCCTCTAGAAAGCAAGTCTCCCTGCTCGATGGACCTTGATGGGGTGAAAGGTAGTTGTCTCCTGCCACGTAAACTGGCTGGGGCAGAACTGGGTTCCTTTCCATGTGTTCAAAACGCAGCCCTGCTTTGTTTGAGTTCTGTGGCTGCAGCTTGTCTGTCTGTTCAGATGAGGTCAGCTGTGGGCCTCAGCGCTGGCTTCCTGAGGCGGCGGAGAGACCCTGTCACTACAGACCACGGAGTCTTGGGTCTGTCTGTCTTTTTTGTTTTGTGCGTTTGCTTGCTTTATTTTAGACGTTGTTTTAAAATTTCATTTATTTTGTGTGTGTGTACATGTGTACACGTTCATGAACTACCATACCTGGCTCGTATTTTATTTTATCGGGATGGGTCTCATTTTGTAGCTCAGGCTGACCTCAAACCCTTCTGCGTGCATGCAAGGCAGGGTATGCCTCCTCTCCACACGGGTTCTGAGCCTGGCCTTGCAAGACAGCGGGGGAGACCTGGAGGCTAACCCTCCTTCCCCTTCCAGACCTGGGCTGTACACTCTCAGCCTGTGTCTGAGTGTGCTGTCAGCCTGTCTACTCGGTGCAGCCCTGGTTGTCACCCCTAGAGCAACTGTCACTTCTCCGGCCCACCCTGGAGTGGCACGGCTCCTCGGGGGTATGTGGCAAGGGTCTCTTGACCTGCTTCCTGGCTGACGTCCCCCCCCCATCCCATGGAGAAGTACAGGAGAGACAGACAGCATTGAGGCCATGGCCGGTGTAGAACCTGAGACGTAGGGTTGGTCCAAGGCACAAATTAGGGAGGAGAAACCCTGGGGAAGCAGGGACACCACTGCCTGGGGAACTCTTGGCCACTGCTAATGGGATCTGCTCAGTCGTCTGTGGAGTGAACCTGTATTACTTCCTCTGCCTTGGCCTCCCCAGGGCGGGGATTGTAACAGAGCCACTGCGCCTGGGTATGTAGAACTGTGTGAGGAGAAAAGCATCCCGTTGCCCGGGACAAAGGATGCTGAGGCCAAGCTGAGCTATAGAGATGGGGGTACACACACGTGCACGCGTACGCACACGCACACGCACACACGCACACGCACGCACACACGCACACACGAACACCCACACACACACATGCACACGCGCACACACGCACACACGCACACGCACACACACGCACGCACACGCATGCACACGCACGCACACACGAACACCCACCCACACACATGCACACACACCCACACACACACATGCACACATGCACACGCACACACACATGCACACACGCACACGCACACACACCACACACGCACGCACACGCACGCACACACGAACACCCACCCACACACACGTACACCCATACGCGCGTACACAGCACACCCACACACATACAAGCACACACACCCATGCACACACACCCACACACACGCACACCCACATGCGCGCACACACGCGCGCACACACACACACGACACTCTCTATACAAGTCCCAAAGGGGTGGGTGCTTTGTGGCCCCTGCCCCTCTGCCTGCCGTTTTCCATCTCCAGCGGAACTGAGACCGCCCTCCCTCTAGTCTGGCCTCAGCCTCCTGTGACAGGGCTCTTTCTGGCCGCCACTCTCCACTTGCGCATGGAGAAATGCTGTGACTCTTATCCGAGGTCTCACCCAGAGGTCCCATCACCTGTAAGGTCCCATACCTTCCTTGTAATTCCAGGAGTGGCACCAGGGCCAAGCATATCACTGTCACACTGCTCACACGATTTTAATCAGATTTGTCACCAAAGCTGTCACAAACAAGGGGGTGTGGGTGTCACGTGACCAGTCTGAGTAACCACATTCTCACTTCCCTCTTCCACACCCTGCCGTTGGGGGTAGGCACCGTAGGGGCGTTGGGACCACAAGTGTCTGGCAGTGTGGGCTGGGGCCTTGTCGCTGAGGCTAAGTCACTTCTGGGCCCCGAGGCAGCTGCCCCATGCTCTGCTGAGCAGGGTAAGTTCTGGTTTGCAAAACTTTGGGGAGTGGCTGGGGGCTCCAGGGACAAGAGGCCTGCCTTTGTGTTGCCAGCACGCAGTGCACGACCCGGGGCCCTTCCGAGCGAGCGGCGCTGAGGCCCTGGACCAAGGTCTCCGTGGTGACTGGGTCCTCTCCAGCCTTAGCTGCCGGTCTCTCCTGATACTGCCTAACTGCTGTCTGGTTACCAGGCCATGGCTGCCGCCTTGCAGTCTCTGAATGGAGACTCGGTGAAGTCTCCCTAGAGTTTCTCCCTAGAAACTATCCTGTCCCCTCTTTTCACAAGTGGGACACTTAAAACCACACCAGCGGCCTGAGACTAAGTCTGGAAGGGTCCCGAAAGGATGGTGTGGGGTTCATCTTGAGGTTGTGTTAGCATGAAGATATTCTTTGGGATTCTCTCTCTCTTTCAAATTATGTATGGTTTCCATTTGTTCATTAGGCTGGCCTGGAACTCTGTGTAGCCCAGGCTAGCCTCTTGCCTTGGCCCAGCGCTGGGGTTGCAGGCATACGAGCCTTCTTCAATTTTACCTGTATTTGTATGTTGTTAGTGTGTGTGTGTCCGTATGAACTTGAGTGAATGGGCAGGCACATGTGTGTCATGCGGCATGTGTAGAGGTCAGATGATAGCTTGAGGGAGTCAGCTCTGTCCTTCCACTGTGGGTTCAGGGAACTGAACTCAGGTCAGCGGACATCCTCGGCAGACACTTTTGCCCTCAGAGCCATCTAGCCCATCCAGATCTTTTTTTTCTTTATTCTTTTTTTTTAATTAAATTATATTGAGAAAACAGAATTCGTTCATGGGAAATTGTTTTTAAATTCATCTTAATTTTTAAATTAGTCTTAATTAAATGTGTATGTATGGGTGTTCTGATTACATGCGTGTCTGTGCATGACATGTATTCGGTGCCCTCATAGGCCAGGAGATGGCATTGGATGCCCTGGAACCAGAGTTAAAGATGGTTGTGAGCCTCTGTGTGGGTGCTGGAGATCATCCCGGGTCCTCTGGAAGAGCAACCGATGCTCTTACCTGCCATCTCTCCAGGCTCAGTGTTTTGAGACGGTCTCTTGTAGCCAAGGCTGGCTGCAGACTTACTACTTAGCCTGGGAGTACCTTCAATCCCATGCCTCTGGGTTCCGAGTGCTGTGCATGTACCTCAGGCACCTCTACCACGCCTGGCTCCTTGATGTTGGAGTCAAGGCCGGAGTTTTAGGCATGCTAAGCAGATACACTGACAGGGGCTGAAGACCCCAGCAGATCCATCCGCCACACCTACAGTCCTGTGTTGTCTTTGCTGGATGACACTGGGGTTTGACCCCAGGCCCTTTGGCAAGCTCGGCAAGTGCTCTGCCACCCAGCATATCCTCCAGCCCTGTCCCCACTGTACAGAGATTGGTTCCCGTTGTCTGAATGTTCTGCTTCTTCTTGGTCTCATTTTCTGCCTCTTTCCCGTAACTGACTTCCATCTACAACGGCCTGCTGGCCTCTTGGTGGCCAAGGGTTAGGGAGGAGGCTCTTCTGGGTGCCTCTGGTGATGCCACACCCTGGGGAGATGTTCCTTCCTCACCAGATTGGCCAGCAGCCAGAGCTGAAAATGGGGAACGGAAGGGCCACCCTGCTAAGCACTCCAGAAATCCTGGGTTGAGTCCCCGCTGGGCCACCAGAGTGACGTTGGTGCTGTGGGGTCACCTGGGTGTCCCTGATGGACGGTGCAGCTGTTTATGGTTGGGAGAACCCGGCTCTGGGGCTTCAGGCAGCTACATGTGATGTTATGGGCTAGAGGCACTGAGTTAGGATGTCACACGGGCCTGGGCTGCAGGACCTGGAACCCGTGGTGACCAAGTCTGTGGGTCTTCTTTGCGGCATAGTGCAGGAAATGGGGAGCGGAGGGTGGTGCATTTGAGGGAGACTGGCTGGCTGGGTTATGTGCTATAAATGCCTTTCACAAGGCCAGGTGAAGCTCTGCTTGAGATAATTTGTGCTAAAGCGCACGGCTGATGTGTACCTGGCCAGTCCCTGGGGTTCCAACAAGCCATGCTTGGTTCCTGGGATTAAGGGGCCCCCATGTTATCAAGCACCATGCATGTGGCCTTGCAATGGGGCCACAGGATGTTAATTAGACACACAGGATGTTTACTAGTGAAGAAGAGTCAGGGGCCCGGAGTGGAGGTGCACGCCTTTAATCTCAGCATTTTCTGGAAGCAGAGGCAGGCAGACCTCTATGGGTTTGAGACCAGCCCGGGGCCACATAGGGAGACGTTGTTTTTCATTAAGTTCAGTAGCTGCCCCATAAGCTGTCCTAACCAGCAGTTGCAACTCTGCAGCTACCAGTCGTGGCCCACGGGCACAGGTGGGAATTCTGTCCCTCAGGCACCCGCTCCATCACGACCACTAAAGGGGACTTTATCTAGATCTGTATCCCGTTATAGGACCCAGGATGCAAAGGCCGAGGTGAAATTCTGCTTGTTCCGAGAGACTGAATCGCAAATAGCTAACCTCCTCTCCTAGGTCACATCTCCTGCGAAACTGGGGCTCAACCCCCCACTTAAGAACCCTCACTACACATGGCTCCTCCCTGCCGCTTCCTGTCAGCTAGCTGCTGACTCAGCCTCCTGACCCCAGGTTGATCTTATTTAATCAAGCAAATAATCTTTGCATCATCAAACAAACGTTCCACAGCATAAACGAGTGTAACACATCTTGAATTAATATTCCACAACAGTAAGACTCTGTTCTCTAAATGAATGAATGAATGAATAAATGATTGATAGAGTCTGAGTGTCAAGGCACAGAGTGTAATCCCAGTACTCAGGAGGCAGACTCAGTAATTCAAGGTCATTTTTGGCTAAAGAGCCAATAGTAGGCAAGCCTGGGCTACAAGAGACTACCTCAGAACAAACAAAAAGTTTGTTGTGGGTGGGAATGGCAATTAGAAAAGGGGGGGGGTCCTTGACAGGTTGACAAAAAAGGTAGGGTGTGTCAGTTGACAAATACAGAGGCTGGAGATGTCGTGTCTGTGTAGTCCTGGGGTTCGGAGTGGCCCTGCCCAGGAATGCCGGGCATGTTGGTGTTGAGAGCCAGAGTCCCTGCCCTCCATGAGCCTGTGGGCTGGTGGGGTGGCCCAGGGCAGATTATCCCGGTGCCCCTGAGTCTACAGGACAAGAGTCACAGGGAGAGGAGTCCCCAGCTGTGTGTCCGCCCGCCCACTGCTGGACCCTGGGCATGTGGCACTATCTCCAGGTGGCTGTAGTATTGAGCTTCAGGAGTCCATCAGTTCACTTGAATGGAGTTTTAGGAGACAAACTTCAGGAAGGTTTACAGAGTGGAAGATGCTGGACCAAACCCTAGACGATCTGATTAGTTCCGAGAACAGATGGTTTGGGCTCTGCAGGGCAGGGGTGGGGTGGGACTGCCGGGCTTCAAGCTCCAGCTTCTGGCCTGACCTATGTGCCCCAGGTGGAGGTGGGGGGCTCAGAATGATGGTTCCAGCCTTTAATGGGGCGTGAGGTAAGGACTCACAGGCAGGACTTAGGGCAATGTCCAACACACATGCCAGACTCGGCACCAGTGACTCATGAGCCGGAGGAGGTTGAGAGGGAGGACGGCATCCAGGTCCCTGCCGTAGAGACCAACCTCTGGGCATCTCAGTTCTGAGGAAGCCAAGGCCAGTTGCAGCCTGCTCCAAGGTTGGGAATTTCCCAGGACACGGCAGTGGTTAACAGGGAAGCCCCTTGCCCTAAATGCAAAATTCAAAGTTATGACCATGAGACAGATGAGGTTTTGGTCCCAGCACTCCCCGGAAGGCAGAGGCAGTTGGATCTCTGCCAATTCAAGACCAGCCTAGTCTACATAGTGAGTTTCCAGAGTAGCCAGGGCCACACAGGAGACCCTGTTTCAAGAAGGAGGAGGAGATTAACAGATGGCTTTTATTGAGCATTTACTGGACGATAAACATCCAGTGGGGACTGTGCCTCACCTACCCTCAGCAGCCTCATGAGGAATGGGGACTTTCTCTCTCTTTTTTTTTTTATTTTTACTTTTATTTTTTTGGAGACAGTTTTTTTCTGTGTAGCAGCCCTGACTGTCCTGGAACTAGCTCTGTAGACCAGGCTGGCCTCGAACTCACAGAGATCCGCCTGCCTCCGCTTTCCGAGTGCTGGGATTAAAGGCGTGCGCCACCTCCACCACCGGCTAAGCAATGGGATCTCTTGCCTCTGCACACACTACCCTCAGTCCTGACTCCTGACTCTTGGCCCTCGGGTGTCGAGAAAGTAACAGCCAGGGGAGAAGCCACAGGTTGAGTTTTGAGTATGATCTAGCCTGGGCTAACCATTCGTAGACACTGTAGGCTGGAGTTAGACAATGTTGCCCAACTGCAGGCTGAAGGAAGCATTTCCTACACTAGCTGAGCCTGGCTACTCTATGTCGTGTTGTCAGATCAAGTGTGTTAATGTGTTTCTTGAATGTTCATGCCACCGCTGGTTCACAAGGACTAAGCCCCAGGGCAAACCTAGGCACACCTATATTGCATCCTGGGATGGCTCAGAGAGGTGGATTGAGTTGCCCGAGGTCACACAGCTTTGTCCGGGACAGAACTATGATGGACGGTCCTCTGACTCATGGGACCTGAGGTGCCTGTGCCTCAGTCTCCCCTGGTTGTTGGCATGTGCTTTGCCTCTCTTGGAGTCTGAAAAATCACTCTAAAGATGATGTTCGGGGCTCGAAAGTCTTGGAGGAATGAGTCCTTCATGAGCCTCAGGGGCCAGGGAGGTAGCTACTGGTTTGGTTTGGGGGTGAAGGACAGGAAACAGGCAGGCAAGCATGGAGACAAATTGGACGTGGCTTCACCCTCTTGAACCTTAGCCCAGTCCTGTCACCTGAGGGGAGGAGGCTGAGCCACCCCGCCAACGCTTGCCTTCCTTATCTGTATCACGGGGTCTCGCGAGTTGGTGCCTCACTGGGAGAAGGTAGGGGAGTTCATCCAGACAGGAACCCCCTCCTCCCCCCCCCCCCCGCAGCGGCAGCCCGATGAGAGTCGCTTTCACCATGGACCTCAGGGAACATCACCAGGGACACATGGGCGCTGGGCTCCTGTCCAGCTGTTTCAGGCATGGCTCCCACCCAGCTGTGAGAAGACATCCCTGCAGAAGACAGATGTTCCAGGGCCAGGCCTGTTGATGCCCACAGATGTCAGGGAAGGGCCTGGAGTGGCCGGTGGCCCTGGCTAGTAGACTGGGAGACTTCTGTGATGTGTGAATTGGGGGTCAAGCTGGTCACTCTGGACAGGCCTGGGCAAAGGGATTTGGGGCTCATCTGTTTCTGTGCTACCACGGAGGAGACACAGGCCCAGCTCTTGGTTTACACATTTACTTTTACACCTGAACCTGTTTGTTCTTCTGTCTCTGCCCTCCAAGTGCTGGGAGTACAGCTGTGCATCAGCATGCCTGACTGCATCTCTTAAAGAAGAAATTATATTAATTAATGTATGTATGTGTTTTTATGAGACAGCATCTTCCTGTGTGGCCCGGGCTGGGCCCAGCGACCCTTCTGATACCAGAACCCTCCCTCCACCCTGCTCACTGCTGCCCCACACCCTCCCACCGCAGGGAAAGGCTCCACCCCCCCACCCCACCCCCATGCCCTAGGGGCAGCATCCTCATCTCCACGACCCTCTCGAGCCTGAGCCTCCCTGTGTCCTCACAGAAGGTGTCTCCGATTTCTTCCTTTCAGAAGCCAACACCTGGAACCTTCCAGGGGACATCTTTGAAGCAGCATCACTAGTTTTACACACCAGGCAGCCGAGGGTCAGGGAGGGTCGGGGTGGATGTGGGACTCTGGGCAACCCTGACTTCACCCCAGGCAGCCTCCTGTGCTGGGGGTTGTGGGTAGGAAGCAGTCTGTCTCCTTTCTGATTGGCTCTCACCTGCAGGGTGGGACCCCTGCCTTGCAGACCCTCTGCACCACCCCCACCACAAGCTGCTTCGTCCCGGCAACTGAAGGACCAGCCTCTGCCCACCGCACCCCCATCCAGGAAGTGGTTAAGTCTCTACCTTCCAGGAACCCAGGGGAGCTAGCGGTATGGGCGGTGGTGGTGTCATCATCATGACACGTACCTCAGCAATGGTGGCTTCTTCCTGCATTGCTCCACACCCCACCCCACCCCCAGGGCGGATCTCTGTGAGTTCAAGGCCGTCCAGGGCTACAGAGTGAGTTCCAGGACAGCTAGGGCTATGTAGAGAAAGAAACTGTCTCAAAACAGCAACAAAAGCAAAAGACAAAACAGACAGACAGACAGACAGACAGACAGACAGACACAAAACAAGCCCACAAAGGAAAGGTGTGCTCGGAGTTGCATTTTACAACTCAGTGCAATCCTAACTAACCTGAGAAGGAGGCCACATTGAGGCCAGCAAAGAGGGCCCTACAGGTTAGAGTCACCCTGTCCGGCCCTCCTGCCAATTACTCGAATGAAGGGCCAGGAAAAGGTGCAGGACATGATGGACTGAGCCACTGCTGGAGGGGTGGCCACTGAAGGGTGCTGTGTGCAGGGTACCAAGGACCCAGGTGCTGCCACTCACCACAGTGTGCTTAAGGGCTGGATTGTGACCTCTATAAATCCTGGCCAATGCCAGGAGGAAGTAAGGGGACAGGGGACGATGGCCTAAAGGAAAGGAAGGGGCCGTTCTTCCTGGCTCTCTGGTTGGGAGGACAGTGGCCCCAAACAGACACTCTGCAGGCTGAGTGAGCCCCCCAGGGGTGAGGATCCTCCTGGGTCCTGATCGCGCAGTTGACGGCTCTGGTTAAGCCTGGAGTAACCAGAGCAGCCAACCTTGGCTGTGCGTCTCTCCTGCATCTTCACGGTGCCTTTGAGGCGGGTCTTGTGCAAGCAAGGACACAAAGGGAACAGGACCAAGGAGAGACCACCCAAGGGGAGAGGGTGGCTCCATGGTTATGGCGTTTGCTGCTTTCCCAGAGGACCTGAGTTCTGGTCCCAGCACCCACATCCGGCAGCTCCAGGGTACCCGATGCCTCCAGCCGCTGCAGGCACCTGCCCTACACATCCATGTCATATGGATGATTTAAAACGTTACGGGGAGAAAAAAAAAAAAAAACTTTTTTAAAAGGTTTTTTTTATTGTTGGTTGTGAGCCTAGCCTTTAACGGCTGAGCCATCTCTAAAGGTTTATTTATTTATTTATTTATTTATTTATTTATTCTATTTGTTTTCCAAGACAGAGTTTCTCTGTGTAGCCCTGGCTGTCCTGGGACTCACTCTGTAGACCAAGCTGGCCTCAAACTCACAGAGATCCGCCTGCCTCTGCCTCCAGAGCGATGGATTAAAGGTGTGCGCCGCCACCACCCAGCTTTTTTTTTATTTTTGAGACTATAATTACGTCATTCCCCCCCCCCCCCCGTTCCCTTTTTCTTGACCTAAACCCTCCCAGGTGCCCTTACACTATCTCAAATCCATGGCCTCTTTTATCGTTCATTGTTGTTTCTGTATGAGGGTACTTGTATGCATGTTTTCAGAGATGGCTAGTGGCCGGTGGATAGCCGTTGGTGCGCTCTTCCCTGGGGAGGACGGTTTCTCTCAATTCCACCGTTCCTTAGCTGGCTGAAGTCCTCGCGTAGGACTGAGGTCTTTCCCCGTCCCCTTTGGCATGTTTATTGGTGTTGGCCTTGTTCAGCTCAAATATTTCTTTAAAACAAAAAAATTTTAAAAGAGAGAGAGAGAGACAAAGACCTCAGGACAGGCAAAGTTGTGTGGGCCAGGGAGGGGACAGGGAGATGAAGGGGGGAGTGTGTGGGGTGGGGTGGGGGTGGGGCTAAGAAGAAGCTTTGGGGACCAATGAGCTGCCTTTGTCCTCAGAGCTCTTCTGCTCAGCCCCTGTGTTGTGGGTGTGTGACACCTGCTGGTCTGTTTATGACTTGTTCTTCGACACAGTTAATATCTAAAATAGACCCTCAGGGCTCATGAGAGGCTCAGCTGGTTAAGAGGACTGCTGGCTAGATTGACCACCAGTCTGAGTCCCTGACGAGGAGAGAACTCCTGCAGGCCGTGGTCTGATCTGCACACACACGTGCACGCACACACAGAATATATAAAACACAAATAACCGAAACCCAGACCTTAAGAAGAGCTAACACAAAAATGTGAATGTGTGGAGTACAGGAGAGACGGCTCAGCGGTTGAGGTCACTGGCTGCTTTTGCACAGTGCGCCGGTTCAGCTCCCAGCACCCACATGGAGACTGGCTCGCAGCTGTCTGTAAGTCCGGCTGCAGGGGATCCGATGCCCTCTCCTGTTTGCCAAGGCAGCTGCATGAGCATGGTGCACACACATGCGTGCAGGCAGGCGGACACTCGCATACATAAGATAAAAATATATCTTTAAAAAAAAGTGAATGTAGCAAGTGTATTCTGGGCTCAGTGGCGCACCCCTCCATGCTGTAGTGTGAGATGCTGAGGCAGGAGGATTGCTTAGTCCAAGGCCAGTCTGCACTACAAAGTGAGTACCAGGCCAGCCACATGTCCGTAGTAAGAATATCCAAACCGGGCGGTGGTGGCACACGCCTTTAATCCCAGCGCTCTGGAGGCAGAGGCAGGTGGATCTCTGTGAGTTCAAGGCCAGCCTGGTATACAGAGTGAGTTCCAGGACAGGATAGGCTCAAAAGTTACACAGAGACCCAGCCTGGGGTGGAGGAGTGAAAAGACAAACTGGCACACACACACACACACACACACACACACACACACACACACACAATTTAACCGAAACTGCTAGAGAGGTCAGCCAACTGTCTCTGATGGTGTTATTTATGTGGGTAATCACCAAGCTTCTAGCAGCCAAGAGTCTCACTTTAAGAGGTGTCTGATGCCACAGTGCCTGCCCCAGACCAGACCAGGGCTGCCTGTGAGATGCTCAGCCGGCACAGCTGACGCCATCCCCGCCTCCCTGCCCCTGTCTCCCCAGGTACCATGTTTCCACGCTTCCTCCTGCTGCTGAGCCTCTTAGGCCCTGGCAACAGCCTTGCGTCGTGGGACCCCTGGGAACGGAGAGCCAAGGAAGCCTCGGAGCCTGTGCATCTCCGGTACCGGAGACAGGTCACCTTGGATGATGAATTCGAGGATTTGGAATATTCCCCGGAAGGCACAGACCCCCCAGAAATGCTGATAAATGTCACCAACACTGTGGCTGCACACCCTGAGCCTCTGACCACGATGGCCATGCTAGACCAGGGAGCTCCTGTGGGAACTGGAACCACTGAGTCAGCCACTACCAAGGTTCCCGGCACTGGCCCTGCTGGCCCAGATGCGGGAGGGCTGAGCACAGAATCTGCCGCACAGTGGAGGTCAGCCACAGTGGTGATGACCGACCAGCCAGCATCCACGGATGCAAGGACTTCACAGCCAGCACCCACAGAGGCAGAGACCTCACAGCCAGCGCCCACGGAGGCAGAGACCTCACAGCCAGCGCCCACGGAGGCAGAGACCTCACAGCCAGCGCCCACGGAGGCAGAGACCTCACAGCCAGCGCCCACGGAGGCAGAGACCTCACAGCCAGCGCCCACGGAGGCAGAGACCTCACAGCCAGCGCCCACGGAGGCAGAGACCACCCAGTTTCCCAGGATTCAGGTTGTAAAAAGTCTGTCTACAGAGGCCTCAGCCGCAGAGACACCTTCCAAAGAGCCCAGCACCACAGAGACTGCGTCCACAGAGCCTATTGACTCCGCGGTCTTCCTTGGGCCATCTGTGACTCACAAGGATAATGATATGACAACTGGTCACTTAAATGACAGTGGTTTGAAGAACGGGCTCTTTGTGACCCCTTGGCGCTCTCTGGCCACAACAACCCCAGCGGCCTCTGACCTCATCCCCGTGAAGCAATGCCTGCTGGCCATCCTCATCTTAGCCACTCTGGCCACCATCTTCCTGGTATGCACGGTGGTGCTGGCAGTCCGCCTCTCCCGAAAGAAGCACATGTACCCAGTGAGGAACTACTCCCCCACAGAGATGATCTGTATCTCATCCTTGCTGCCTGAGGGGGGCGAAGGGGCCCCTGTCACAGCCAACGGGGATCTGCTCAAGGTCCAGGACCTGAAGACAGAGCCCAGGGAAGACAGAGACGGGGATGACCTCACCCTGCGCAGCTTCCTGCCTTAGCCTCCCTGGCTACCCGAGCAAGACCCTTGCTGGCTTTACCCTCTGTGGCCACCAAGGCCACATATCTGGGCTTCCTGGGTGAACTTTATCCATGGGGGTCTTTAGGGTCCAGAGCCTCCAAGATCCTGCAGTTTCTGCTTCCTTCACGAGCCTGGTGGCCTCCAGGACAAGGACCACAGTAGCAGTTGCTGCTCCTGACACCTCTCTCCTTCTGTCCGCTGTTTTTCCCCCCCTGGAACCCCCCCATGCCTCCCAGTGCTGTGAGGCTGTCTGTGGGTCACCAGAGTCCTGGCCTCACGTCCCCAAGGAAAAACAAGTTCCCTTACCCCAGTCCCAAAGCCTTCCTCTTGGTTGCCATGGATGCCTGATGAGAAAGGCTCTCTGGCAGAGTCTGCAAGTGCGCAGCATTTCCCAAGGCAATTGTCCGTGCCGTACCCCCAGTGAGGGGCAGCTTGGCTTCCCCAGACACCCATCTGAGGACAGCAGGGCAAGGGTTGGAAAGATGTGCCTGCATTTGGGTCTGTGTGAACCATGAGCTTCTGTCTGTTGACAGGGTGGTCTCACACTGTGGCCTGTCACAGCGCAGGCACTCAATAAATGGGTGGCACCAAACGGCAGCGGCTGAATCCTTCCCATGCCCAGGCTGCCACCTCCAGGCCGTTTCCCCAAAGGGCTCTCGGGCCGATGTGCACGTTGCTCTGAGACAATAGTTCATCCTTGGGCAAGTGCCAGGGGAAATGGGCTGAAGCGATCGCACACACCTGTGATCCCAGCACTAGCGAACAGAGGGAGCAGGCGTTTAAGGTCAGTCCTTGGATATGCAGCGAGTTTGAGGTCAGCCCGGGATCCAGTCTCTGGCTGGATGGTGCAGTGGGTGAAGGTGCTTGCAGCCAAGCCTGATGCCTTAAGCTTGACTGGGGCCTGCATGGCGGAAGGAGAAAACTGACTCCCCAAAGTTGTCCTCAGACCTCCACACACAGTAGACAAACAAAACCAAACAAATAAGCAAAGCAGAGAGCGTCACTGAGTTCACTCTTACCAAACTGGTCCTCCAGCTCTCAGACAAATACGCCTCTTGGTGCCCACAGCACGATGATCCTGCCCAGAAACCTCTCTCCCCCCCACGGGCTACCCATCTTCCACTAATGTCTTCTAGCAGATCCTCACAGACTGGCCGAGCCCCTGTCATCCATGATACCAATAAGAGACCATCTCAAAAGGAAGATATGCAGTTCCCAAAGAGCAAGAGCTGAGACCATTCTCCAGCCTCCATGTGCACACGCATACACGCACACACACACGCACACACACCTTTACAAAGAGGTAGCAAGCCGGCTCGGGCTCGGTAACTTTGACTCCCGATGACAGGGCAGGGTGACACAGGGTCACAAATTTACCATCTTTCTGATCTTGGCCTCAGAGCCTGTGTTCCCAGAGCCGCCCCCAACTCCAGCAAACCAGGAGTTGGCCACATGTATGGTGGACATGACCCACCTCATCCCAACCGCACTTGGACCCCAAGGCATCGTGGAGTCCCCTGAATTCTTACTCTTGTCCCACCCCCGAGTAGGGATGAAGAAGCCTTGGCCCACCTGCTCGGGGTGAGACCTGCAATTGAAGAGAAAGCTGCCTTGGGAGAGAGGGATTGGGGCAGGAGGAGAGCCACAGGGAAAGGCAGGAAAGGACACACACGGCAGGTGATGGAGCCCTCAGGGACACAGTAGGGAGTGGTGGGGAGAAGCCCCAGCACCTAGAGTTGGCCCTGCCTGCTGCTTCCCCCTCAACCTTTAGAAGAGGCTGACCGGTGGGCTGGACTGGGTACATCAGGGTTCACATCCCCTGGATCAGAAAGAGTAGGAGGGGGATTCCCAGACCCGGCAGGTACAGGACTTGAGGACCTCGGAGCAATTCCCCAGGGCTCTGTCCCCCTTCCCCGGGGATGCCCTGTGACAGACAGAGGCATGGTTTTCTTGCTTGGAAGGGGGCTCGCCCGTGATGAGAGGAGAAACCACCAGGGGGCGTTGGTCACCTTCTCCTGGAGGATGATGGTACAACGAGGAGCCTGCATCCTGGGGTTTTGGTGTGGATGCTCTTGGCTTTCTCGGTAATTTGCTAAACAACTGATTCTCAAAACTTGACACCTGGCCCTTGGGCAGAGATTCAGATGTCCCTAGAGCACAGCTGTCCCACCCCCTCCCATCTCTGTATGCCCTGACCTGACTGACCATGCAGAACCCGAGTCAGCCAAGGCATCCACTCGGCGAACCCACACACGGCCGCAGCATCTCCCTGAACCCCTCAAGCTGCCTTCAAAGGAGACCCTTGCATGTTGTCCACTTCATAGAGGAGGAAATGGAGGCGTGGGGAAGCGAACTCCCGGCTCATCACACAGCCGGTCTGGGATTGGAATCCTGGCCCTGCAGCGGTGCCTCAGTGGGATTCTGGGGAAATCCTATGTCCCATGGTCACTCCGCTGACCTCCCTGTCATCTGGAAGTCCCCCTTGTCACCCTTAATTGCTTCTTGGACCAGAGGAAAGGCATGGTTACTCGGATGAGCAGAACCAGCCCCTGTCTGTAGAGACCCGGGTGATGCAGAGCCAGGCCCAGCACAAAGAAGGCAGGCGTGGGCTGGGCACTTGCTGCGTGCGTGCCTAACCCTTGCAACAGGGGTGCAGAGATCACCGCGCTGCTGCTGGGAATCTGAAACTCCGAAACCAGGAGGGCTTGCACCGCCAAAAAGCCAGGAGAGTCAGGAAGGGGGTCAGGCAGCAGGCGGGGCAGGCAGTTGGTAGGCTGTTTATGCCCCGCCCACCCATCACGTGGGTGTTTCACGTGACAACCGATCTGGACTAGAGCTCAGGCTTTCCTCCCTGTGTGCCACTCGCCCAAGTCACAGTGTGCTGGGGTGTGCACGAGTGTGGGCTCAGGGGTGTGTGTGTGTGGGGGGGGGACATGAACAAGGCAAGGGAGGGGTATCTGGAAGAGGGAGGGTTGCTGCAGGGGTCTGGCGAGACTGAGGATGTGGATGCTGCAGTCAGAGAGGACGGGAGGAAGAGCAAGCGGGGCTTGTGGGAAAGGCAGTAGAGGGTTGTGGTGAGGAGGGAGGGGCCCCTAAGTGAGGTTTAGCCTTGTGGGGTGTGAAGGCAAACCCTGACACCATCAGCCATCGGGGGACCGCTCAGGAAGCCCTCATGAGGGTCCCAGCGCACGGAGACTGAAACCGACCACAGCAGCGCACAGCTGGGCAGGGAGGGGCCGGGGTGCCCAGTGTGGTTGATGGGGTCCCAGAAAGATGGCGCATCTACTTTGGAAACCAATTGAGCAGATTCCCATAGCGTTCAGAACAATCACTGCGCAACCTGGGAATCCCACTCCCAGGCATCTGCCCAAGAGAATGCAAATACAGGCTGATCTGAGTCCATTCACACAGGCTGGCAGCAGCCTGAGTCCCAACAGCCAGATTCAGGTGGCTAAGGGTAACCACGCTGTGGTATGTCCCTACGGTGGAATAATATTCAGAATAAACAAGAGCAGATACCGGCACGCCTACCTCACTCACTGAAACCAAGCACAAAGGCCGTGTGTAGGAATGTGAATTCTAATGTTACAATGTCCAGGAAGGGGCTGGAGAGACGGCTCGGTGATTAAGAGCACCAGCCGCTCTTCCAGAGGACCTGGGTTCCGATCCCAGCACCCACAGGGCAGCTCACAACCACCTGCCATTCCAGCTCCAGGGTATTTGATGCCTTTTTCTCATTTCTATAGGCACCGGGCATGTATGTGGTGCATGGTGCATATATACACATGGAAGTGAAACACTCACGATTTTTAAAAGATGTTTATGATACACACACACACACATATACATATCTTATATCATATATCATAAAAGCTCAGGAAGGGGCTGTTTATGATACACACACACACATATACATATCTTATATCATATATCATAAAAGCTCAGGAAGGGGCTGGAGAGCTGAATCCGCGCTTAAGAGCACTTACTGCACTTTCAGAGGACCTGAGTTTAGTCCCTACCACTCTGGTCTTGTGGCTCACAACTACCTGTAACTCCAGCTCCACGGGACCCAACTCCCTCTTCTGGCCTCTCTGGGCACTGCACTCATGCATGTGTACCCATACAGAAACACATCCACATGTATAATTAAACATTTTTAAAGATCTATTTATTTATTTATTTATTAAGTATACAGTATTCTACCTGTATGGATACCTGCAGGCCAGAAGAGGGTGCCAGATCTCATTACAGATGGCTGTGAGCCACCATGTGGTTGCTGGGAATTGAACTCAGGTCCTCTGGAAGAGCAGCCAGTGCTCTTAACCACTGAGCCATCCCTCTAGCCCGTGATATTTTAAAACTATTTTTTAAAGTTCAGAAGGGCTAGGGAAAGGGCTCTCTCTGTAAGTAAAAGTATTTGTTGGCCAAGCTCGAGGCTCCGAGTTTGAATGCCCAGAACCACATGCTTTATGGTGAAGAGGGTTGCAAAGCCAGGAAAATGTCGTGGGGTAATCTGATTGGTTTAATAAAGTGCTGTGGCCAATAGCTAGACAGGAAGATGTTAGGCGGGATTTCCGGGAGAGAGGGACTTGGGGGATGAATCTAAACCTTCGAGAGACACCTGGGAGACACGGAGAGACATACATAATAAACAGAAGGTTAAAAAAAAAAGCCACGTGGCAGAACAGAGATTAATAGGAAGGGTTAAGTTATAAGAGCCTGAGCTAAAGGTCAGGCTTCCATAATTAACAATAAGCATCTGTGTCACTATTTGGGGGCTGGTGTTCCCGACGAGAATGTACAGGTACAGAAGAATCTCCCAATCTCGTGGGCTCAGCTCCCTGATCCCAGCTGCTTCTGATCTCTGGATGGATCTGGTCACCGCGACAACCTCCCATGCTTGTCCCCACTCTTATTCCTGGGGAATGACAAACTCCGCATCCTCACTCTGGTGCTGGATGTGGAGACGAGCCTGGTTGCTCAGCTGCACCCTCCAGCTGCAGGGTGGGTGCCGCTGTGTCTGCTCATGTCACCCAAAGACCACTGTTTACTGTTCAGGTGGATGTCACCCCCAGGTGGGTGGGTGGGTATTACCCTCAGGTGGCTGTCACCCAAAGACTCACAGGTTTTCCTTTCCCGGTTTAGGAAGGAGACAGACATCAGCCTGAGACCTGCTGGGTGCTTCCTGAGGGCCTCTTTGCTCCTCTGGGTGCTTATCTGTAGCCTGGGTGGACCCAGGGTTGTGGATACATAGGACACCCAGACAAACAGCCACGGCAACCGCGGTAACCATGCTCCCTTGCTGCCAGCTAGGTTTGTCTTCACAGTCTCACACTGACCCTCATGCAAGGTGGGGCTGGGGCTTCCCGGGAAGATTGTTTTATCTGGCGGGAGACTGCAGCTTGATGGAAAGGGAAAGGCAGGAGGTAGGGTGTGGAGCCTCTGCCTGGAGGAAAGTGGTAACTGCTCTGGCTTCAATGTCTTGAAAGGGACCCCAAAGTCCATGTGTTGATAGTATGCGGAAGTGAGGCCTTTCAATGAGTTCATCAGAGTAGGATGCCATGGTGACCTAGGTGGTATTGTAACAAGAGG